GAGCAGGAAACCGAAGCCGTTCTCAGTATTTTAAACAGAAAGGAGTTAAATTCAGGAACGTGGGTGCTTCCAAAGCTGCAGGAAGGGCTAACGGAGCAGGAGTGGGAAACGGGAAGAGCAGACTCGAGAACGTCCTGTGTGGGAACGAGGAAGTGGACGCTGTCGCCAGGAGAGCTGTCAACACTTACGTCTCCATCACCTTGGTTGCTCCGAGAACACCAGCCTTTGGGGTCCCACAGAAGAGGGGGGCTCAGGAAAAGACTGGGTAGGTGAGAGTGTGGGGGCCAAAGACACTGAGACCATTGCAAGAAGGCGGGATCACACAGCAAGGTGGATGAGTCCGAACGCATTTTCTAAGTGCAAGAAGCCAGACCACGTATTCCGTGATTCCACTGATGCGACATTCCGGAAAAGGCAATCTGTAGGGAAAGGAAACATCAGTGGTTGCCAGGGCTTAGGGTGCTGGGGACGCTTTGACTACAAAAAGGCAGATAAGGGAATTGGGGGGGTTATGGAACTAGACGGTCTTGGGTGTGGTAGTGGAAACACAACTCTGCATTTCTCAAAACCCATAGACGTGCACACCACAAAGAATGAGTTTTACTGTGTGGAAGATAGATGGGTGGATGAATGGATAGATGATCGCTCATTCATTCATGCATACACACGTTCATCCATGCACAAATAGAAAGTGGTCAGTTTTATTAAATGTTTCAAGAAAGCCAAGGAAGATGAGTGACAGGTTTCCCTGGGTCCATGGAAGGGGGACCCAGATCTTTGTATGGGAGGGTCCTGGGCTATTAGCAGAATTGACCTACACATGCAGTGTGCATTCCTCCTTTCAAGAGCATGACTTCTTGTCATGCCCTTTGAGCTTTTAGAAATACAGAGCCTGCTCCTTGGATAAAGAAGTCCTTAGCACCGAGATGTGCACTTGGGGTGGGTAAAATACTCAGATGAGAAAGACCTGGTATTGGGTGGGCTCCCACCCTGGGTTCTTCTCTCTCTTGTACCAAACTGTGAATCCTTTCCCCTCTCGGAGCCTCTGTTTACCCATCAATAAAATGGGAATAATCTTCTCGGGATTGCCAAGGCACATTGAAGGGCTTGAAAAGTTAGTGACGCAACCTTCAAGCCTTGGCGGGGGATTCTCCACGGGCTCGCTGCCTGCCCCACCTCCCCAGGTCGGTGACCCCTGGCTGGCTCACTCCTCGGCAGCACAGCAAGCTGCTCCCTGTGTCTTGATTATTTGTTTATTTGTCCATCTCTCCCCCACCAACCCCTCAAGGGCACATCTGCAAGCCCAGTGCCTGGTGCCTAGTAAATAAATGCTCCAGAAACATATTGACTTGTACTGTTTCAAAATCAGGGTATTTGCCATCCTGATAACCTATCGCTTTCGGAATACTTTGGCTTCTCTGAAAGTCAAGTCCCCGCCCACGATGAGGAGCTGCCAGGCCTGGGGATGTTCCCGGACGCACCAGGATCTCACCCGCCTGTTCCCAGAGGGAGTCCAACACCTACCGCGTGGGTGCTCAGCAAATATTTGTTGAACAAATTAATACATTTGGAGAACTAGCGGCAACATTGGCAAAAGCAGAGCCCCTCAAAAGGGCAACACTGATTCAGGGTTTCTGAAATATAACTGTCACCAATGCAACTGTGTGTGTGTGCCCTAGGGATCTCGTTCATAGAGTGTTAGAGGACTCGGTGCTGGTGGTGGGGAGGGGGATTGCAGATGCTTTTGCCCAGGGATCTGTGGTTTCCCCTCCCTTCCACCCCTACTCCTTGGCCCTGCACACACTGGGGGGCAGGTGGACAGGAGGGAGAAAGACCTTGGTGAGAGGAGAGGGGTGTGTTCAGAACCAAAGGTGATGGAGAAGCCCGGCCAGTGTGGCTCAGTGGATTGAGCGTTGTCCCGTGGACTGAGAGGTCCTGGTTCAGTTCCCGCTCAGGGCACATGCCCAGGTTGCAGGCTCGATCCCCAGTAGGGGGCGTGCAGGAAGCAGCCGATCGATGTCTCTCTCTCACATCAATGCTTCTCTCTCTCTCCCTTCTCTCAAAAAAGAGGTCAATAAAAAACATTTAAAAATCAAGAGTGATGGAGAAGCCAGTTCTGGGCACTGAGGTCCAAAGGACAGAACCCTAAGGGGCGTGGGGAGTCGCTGCTGCGCTCTTTGTCCCTTTTCCTCCCCGCCTCCTCCCCTGGCTCCCCCTTCACCCCGTCACATGAACAGTACTGGGATCATCCCTGGTCTCTGAGCCGGGCTCCACCTGCAGACACATCTCTTCTCCACACGCCCCGCCCCCCAGGCACCTCCTCCCGGATTTCTGCAGCTTATAGGCTTAGGTGTGACCTGGAAAGCCTCCTGTGAGTGCCCTGTTGATTCCTCCTTGTCCTGGTGGGGATGGAGCAGCCAGGCAGGCTCAGCCCCTCCCAGACACGCAAGCATCTCACCCTGGAATGTGGATCGGAGCTCTGGATCCCAGCAAGCCCAGGAGAAAAGGAAAAAGGTTTCTCAGGAAGCTGGGATTCACCCCCATCAGCACTGAGATCGTACCGAGGCCCATCTCATCTCGGCCGCTCCTTTCCCCACCACGCAGGCTGTCTTCCCCTTCGCCTGCGGAAGCCAAGGTCGTCCTCAGCGGGGTTAGAACTCGTACTGCGAGGCAGGAGCTGCGAGTTAAGACTCTTACAGTGACGGCAGCCTACCTGCCTAAGTGCCCTGCACACATTCTCTCTCGTGTAACCCTGGCAGCAGCCTGGCCGGCAGGTGCTGTAAGACCCCGCGTGGAGGTGAGCTGACAGCCCTGAGGTTAAGTAACTTGCCCAGGCCGTGCGGGTAATCAGGAGCAGAGGCGCTTCCTGAAACCTGTCACCTGCTCTGGAGACAGTGCCCTGAGCAGCCTCCCAGGCTGTGTGCAGTTCAGAGTTGTTGCTCTTGGTGACAAGGATGGGAGAGACAGGGTTCCTGCTGTGCACACCCCATGGTCTGTACCCCTACACCAATGTCTAGAGGATTTGACCCCTGAACTGGGAGTGGACTGGTCCCAGTTACCAGCTGCCGATTGAGGAGGGCAGGATGGCCACCTGCCTGCTTGCAGCCATTGGCAGCCATGCACGGTAATGGGGACTGTTTCATTGCCTCACGTGGCCACAGGTCATAGCTGAAGAGATAGAGGGACAGGGAGATGAAATGACTCAGCCAGGGTCCTCCAAGCTCGTAGGTAGCGGAGCCAGGACTCTGTCCAGGTCTGTCTTCCAGAGCAGGGTACTTTCCATTCCTGTTAGAGGCAGCCCCTAACCGTGGAGAGGAGCACAGGGTCCCCCTGTGAGTCCTGGCTTATGTGCCTGGGGGTCACTGCCACTCTGCGCCTCATCTGGGGAGCAGGGACATTTGTGGCTGCATGCCTACCTCATGGGGTCAGTGTGCCTGGAACGCTTGGGCGGGTACACAGGGCAATGGGTCATTGGCAGCAGGCAGCTCTGCTGGTTACCCACTGTCTTTGCTGGCAAAATTGGGGCCGTGGAGGACACCAGTCTTCTCTGTAGCCTCCAGCATACGCCTGGGGTTGCAGGGAAGGCGCTGTGGCTGGAGCAGACTTCTGTTCCTAGCAAGGACAAAGCCATTTCTAATCCATATTCCCTCCCTGCTGGAGGCCAGAGAGAATGTCCTCGAAGCAAAAAGACAGCATTACTTAATTCTCCTTTTCAAAGAATGCCCAGGAATGGCTACATCACCAGCTTTCAAAACACGGATTTGGAGAATCAGGAGCGATCTCAAATGTTCATGGCAGAAATGTCTATTGATCCACACTGAAGTATCCCAGACACTTACATTTCTCCGGGCAACGACGTCCTGGCTACAGGAATGCCATCCCCCTCTCCTGTTCCATCCCTGAGCCGACAGACCTTGAAGCAGATCTGTGCCCTTGAGCTGACAGAGCAGTTCTGTTACATAAGTTTGATTACAGGGGAAAATCGACAGCCCTGAAGTGAAAGAATCTATAGTTCATTAAATAGCTGCTTGTTTTAAAGTGGGAACATTTTCTGGGTGTCTGGGGAGCGGATGTTTTCTATGTCTTGTTGGGAGAATTTAATCTTAAAAGACAGAAAAGTTTCCATATAAGGGAGAAACCATCACTTTCAGAGCTTGCGGCCAAATTACATTTACAGAGAAGGAATTTTTATCCTGGGAGTTTATTTAACAAGCATTTATCAATGCCCACCAAGAACCGGGTCATTCTAGTTGCTCCTGGGATTTCCAAAGGTAATGAAAGCATTCTAATAGGATGAGATGATGTGTATTGTCATTTCTGTGAGTATTTTACCATTGTTAAGTCGATGGACTTTTAAGGTCTCTCGAGAACCTACGGTGTGCCGGCCTGGGCCAGGCACTGAGGATGTGGTGCAGGGCAGTGTGGGTCCCTGTTTTCCAGAAGCTTCTGGTCTAGCTGGTGTGATGAGGACCAGTGAAAAGGACGTGGTGGTTTGGGAGTATCTGATGGGGACCTGCAGAAATGACATTCACAAAGTTCTTACCCGTTGGTCATCTCGAACGGGGGGATGAGAAGAAATGATTCCTTCATTACCCAGGAACATTCTGGGCCTGCAAGGCAGACACATTCCTCAGACCTTGTGAAGGGTCACAGGGGAGTGGCAGGGATGGTACCTGGACCCCGAGTGTTTGATGTCCGGTGCAGAGAGCTCTGCATCTCACAGGCTACCCACCACTCAGGATGATGAGAGCCCGTAACAGGAGTGGCAGTGTCCACCCTGGCAGGGACATCCTTGGGGCCAAAGGAGGGCCTGTGACATGGTGCACAGTGACCCAAGATGCTAGAGGAAGCACACCTGGCACCTGAGTGGACCCGAGGGGCCAGCGGATAAGGACCAATGCTCCAGCCCTCCTCCTCGGCCTCGGGTCCTGCTCCCACACCTACCCTGAGCCTCACCTCGCAGTGATAACTAACTCTCCGCCGGCCCTCTTGTCTTCCAGCGATTCACGAGTTCCCCACAGACCTGTTCTCCAACACGGAGCGACAGCACGGAGCCGTCCTGCTGCACATCCTCGGTGTAAGTGGCCCTCGCAGGGTGGGGGTTCCACGTCAGGCGGGTGCCGCCTGTCCACAGAGCCCAGCAGAGCCAGAGCGTGACAGTGGTCTCGTCCAGTCCCTGTGGGAGCCTGTGGGGAGGGCAGATACCGGGCCCGTTTCACCCACAAAGAAATGGAGTCTTAAGGGTGTCAGGGGACTTGCTCAGAGTCACACAGTGAGTGGCCCCAGAGCCAAGACAAGAACTCGAGCCTTCTGATGTCTTATTTTCTGCTTGTATGAAACGCGGGTGACGGTGTCTTTCCAAACGGCGTCAGTGTGCGTGAATGTGGGCCGAGCGCAGCAGCCCTCACCCGGAGCGTGGGCACTCTGCCTGCTTGCTGTCGCGACTCCAAGTTTACCTCCGCGCACGACTGTCGCTTAAAGCCCGGGTGCACTTCTCACACTCCCCTCTGTGTTCAGATGGGCCTCGATGCCCAGTGGTGGCGTTTCCGCAGCAATTCAGGAAGGACTAGTGGGTTCGAACCTAAGCGATAGGTAAAAGTCGCTCTTCTCTGACGGGGGCGACAAACCACAGCCCGGGCCACTGCCCGTGTTTGTAAACACAGTTTTATTGGAACACGGCCGTCCCCACTCAGTTCTGTGTTATCGGTGGCCGTGTTTGCTTCAGTGGCAGAGCCGAGTCGTCGTGACAGACACTCCGCGGTCCACAAAGCCAGAAATAGTTAATTACGTGCCCCTCGGCAGGAAAAGACTGCCAGCCCTGTTGTATGAAGGTGGCCGCTTTGGATCAGACACAGCACGTTTTCCTCCTGATTAGGCTCCCGACCACCCAGCGCCATCTGCTTACATATTCAAACCCGACCAGATATGAGTCTCTGCAAGAGACAATTAAGAAAGCAAAGGCTGGGATCCTCACGCTGCTCGTAGCCACCCGTGGGCAGCGCGTGAGTGGCGCGTTCGTGAGCAGGAGGCCCCGCTCATGAAGGTGAAGGTCAGAATGAAGACTGCAGGCAAATTCGGAATGACAGGCCTGCATATTATTTCTGTGATAGAGCTGTTACCTTCCTAGTCGCTCTGGCTTTTTCCTGCATCCTCCCCCCTTCACTAAGAGAGTGGGAATGTGGTGAATTAGGGGCAGAGTTCTGTTGCTCTGCCTCTCGGGCATCTTGGCATTGCCAAGACAAAACCTGGACCCTCAGAGCCCCGCAGGAGTTTTGCAAGAACCCTTTAGAGCGGGGCTTACCAGGCCATGGCTGGAGGGCCCAATCCAGCCCTCGGCCTGTTTTTATAAATAAAGTTTTATTAGAAATAGCCCCACCCATTCCGTGGCTGCTCTTCCACAGCAGCAGAGTCTGTGACAGAGACTGCAAAGCCTGAAGTACTTGCCCTCTGACCTTTTAAGAAAAGGCTTGCTGACCCCTTCTTTGGAGCTAGACAAGGCTCTAGCTTTGGAGCCAACTTTGTGAACTTCCCAGTTCACACGATGGGAATAGCAGCTCCTCCTGGCCCCCTTTTCTCTCCAGATTCAGAGATGTCTGGAGAGCCAGAGGCTCCTGCCTCATGGAAAACCCTTGGCCTGGGAGATAAAGTTGGGAGGAATTTCTGGGGTGTCCGTTCGAGTTGGAATCCTGAGATTTGTAGTGGGGTCTCTCCCACCTTGCTCTCTTCCCTTTACCTGCACCCCCAGTATTTGTTTCTTTTTGCTCCTCCCCAAAAGATAATCCAGTCCAGGGATGGCCCCACCTGGACTCCAGCAGACACCTACCTGGACGCCTTGGCCACAGCCGATGTGCCTTCCATTTATGCCATCTGGCCGTAGTTAAATAACCGTGAAGTCGGAGTGGCACGCTGGTTTGGGTGAAGTGGCCCAGGCTGTCCACCGTTGGTGCCACAGGACATTGACATCACTGTTTCTGTGAGGAAAGAAGTGGCTTCCCCCAGTGCTTAGTGTAAAATCTTATCTCTTTCCTGTGGTCTCCATCTTTGCCTCTCCCTCCAACCTCACATTCTCCATTTTCCACCTCATTCTCACTCTGTTCTACCTACACCAGTGACCTTGCTCTTCTCAAATGCATCCAGCACACTCCTGCCTCAGGACCTTTGCACTTCCTGTTTCCTGGTAGCAATAGATACTTTCTTTGTCTATTTGTTTGCCCCTCCCCCCACTAAGGTAAGTTGCAAGAGGGAGAGGCTTTTCCTGGGGTCCTCACCATGTATCCCTGATGCCTAGAACAGTGCCTGGCACAGAGGTGAGCTCCATAAAGCTGTGTTGGGTGGACGGGGTAAGTGAGGGGTTCTGTATTTGAAACTGCTGATTTGTTCTTACTCTGTCATTGAGCAGATGAATAAACTGAGACCCAGAGACATACCTTATCCAAAATCACAGGGCAAATAAGTCCCAGAATCAGCATTCGCACCTAGATTCTTTGTTCCATGAACCTCCCGACGTCAGTGGCTTGTGTATTTTAATCTGCGCCAACATCAAGTGGTGCCCCAGGAAATGCCAGGTCTCAAGTTGCCCTTTGTTTTGGCAGCGGGTGGCAGTGGTAACAAGGAAACGGTGCCTTTTCTGAAACTAAGGGGAAATCTGGCTGGTTCTTATTTAAATTCTTAAAGCGGTGATTTTAAATGCGTTTCTTCAAAGGTTAGGTCTTGCCCCTCAAGGCTGTAGTCTGGAGCTGGGTGAGAGCTGCTGCTTAAGACCAGAGGATGGGCGTAAGGACCACGTGGCCTGGGTTTCAGTCCCCTCTGCTGCTCAGCACGTCTCTCTGGGCCTCAGTTTCCCATTTCGTCAGTGAGGGAATTGAGGGAACACGTCTCCGTGGTGCTGAAATGCTCCTCCAGGCCTGCCTGTATCCCCTCCCTGCAGGCTGGTTTGGGTGTGCTGGGCGCCCGGCCTTGCCTCGTGGGTGGCAGGTGCCCTCACTGACACCCTCTGTCCCATTCGCAGGCTCTGTACATGTTCTATGCGCTGGCCATCGTGTGCGATGACTTCTTTGTCCCATCTCTGGAGAAGATCTGTGAGGTGCATGGGGGGGATTGGGGCCTGGGACGGGGCTGGGGGTGATCGAGGACACGAGGACTGGGAGCACTCTGGCAGTGAAGACTGTCAGGCCAATCACTCCGTGTCGCCATGGCGAAGCCTCACCATGAACCCCCGGGTTAGAGTTGGCGGGTAGTGTCCTCTCCCAGACCTGGCAGAAGAAATCACTCCCGACGCGAAACTGTTACCAGAACCTCTGGCTCGGCGGCAGGCCGGCCGGCCGCCTGCAGTTAAGACAAACCTGGTTAGTTAGGGAGCATTTGCCATAACCAGGTGTAGGAGGCAGGTACCAGGTGGGGATCTGTGTCCCTAGAGAGGAGGCTGAGCTGCCACGGCAGGAACACCCTCTGTCCCAACCTTTGCAGGTTAACATTTTCTCCCTCCAATTGTTTTGTGGCGTTTTCACTTTCTCCTTTCTCCCCATACACAAGACCCCAACGTGTCTCTACTCTGCCTTACCCTTGGCTTCTAGCCAAGGAAGAAGTGCCTACTGTGTGCACACTGCTCATGGCTTTGCTACCCTTTCCCCGCATGACATCTTTCAGCTCTTTGAGGCCACATTGTTGGGACATTTACAGCTGGGGGTGTGATGGTGAGGGGCAGGCACTTCATTGCTGTACCCCGTTGCTGAGCACAGAGCAAGGACTGGCTGCTTGGCCTGGGTCCCCTAAGCAGTGAGTGACCCAGCAAAAGTACGCACAGCCGTGTGCTCTCCTCCAGATGGGATCCTTGATTGAGGGCCTGGCACACAGGCCGAGAGCGTGTGCTCAGGGCACAGGAAGGAGAGACCTCAGGCGAGGAGTGGACTCCCACGCCCTCCCTGGCTGCCGACGTGTCCAGTGAGTGTGTCCGCTGCGCCCACGTCACAGCCCGAGGGTCTGCGGTCATTTCTCTTTCAGAAACTCCACCTGAGTGAAGATGTAGCCGGAGCCACCTTCATGGCTGCAGGAAGCTCCACGCCCGAGCTGTTTGCTTCTGTTATTGGTAAGAAATCCCGCCAGCCGGAGACACAGGATCCAGAGAGAGCCCAGGTTTGGTGCCCTGACAAGTGACCGCATCTGTCGCTCTGAGCGTCAGTTTTCTCCTCTGTAAAATGCGAGAGTTGGAGAGACACGAAGTCCATTAGTGGTTCCCTGGGGCGGAAGCATACGTGGGTGGAGTAGGGTGCTGACGGGTACAGGGTTTCTGTTTGGGGTGATGAAAGTGTTCCAAAACGAGATCGTGGCGATGATTGCTCAATTCTGCGACTGGAATGCAAAACGCTGAATTGATACGTTAAACGGGTGCGTTTTATGGCATGTGAATTCTATCTTATTAAAGCTGCTCCAAAAAATGGAAGAATTAGGGTAACTGGTCTTTGAGGGCACCCCCCTTCTCACAGCATGGTGGGTGTTCTGTCTGCTAGTGAGAACAACTTCCCCTGGTTTGTGGGGTGGGTCAGGGGGCCACAGTCCTCACAGACCTCACGGCCAGCCTGGGTGTGTGCATGGGGTGTGTGCATGGGGCAGGCCTGGGCCTTGGGGACGAGGGTTTGTGCCTTTCCCTTGCCAGGTGTGTTCATCACCCACGGAGACGTCGGGGTTGGGACCATCGTGGGCTCTGCCGTGTTCAACATCCTGTGCATAATTGGAGTCTGTGGCTTATTTGCTGGGCAGGTCAGTGGTTTCTCTCCCCTTAGAAGCGACATAAGGGACAGCAGTGGGCCATGCCCCTAACCCCTGAGGCTTGAGTGACCCTGTGTCCGCGTGTGTCATGGTGGTGTCTGATGCCCCCGCAGGCTGAGGGCTGAGGGCAGGAGGAGCACCCTCTCCCGTGTCCGGTGTGAGGGTGAGGGTTCATTCCGCAGCGGTGAATGTTCAAGGGGCGCCTCCTGTAACCCTGACCTCGGCTGGATTCTGGAAGTGTCCGGGCCTGCCTTTGGCCTCCCAGCAGGGAGCACCTAACTGGCCTGTCCTTGAACCCCATCAGCACCTTCCTGGAGCGCAGGGCCACAGGGGCTGTTAGACTTGACAGAGCACTGAGCTCATGGGCGGGCCTTGCTTGGCCCTGGGAGGTAGGGGAGGGAGCCAGTTGCCACCAGCAGGTCCCTGCAGCAGGGAAGAGCTGTACCTCTGGCCCCGCCTTGGCAGAGGGCTTTGCTGGGGAACGTGCTGCGTTGCTACTTTGGAGGAGCGGGGGCAGCTTCCCTGTCACTTACCCACGTGCCGTGGCTTCGCTCTGTTCCCAGAATCTAATGAAGAGCACAGAGTGGCCTTGAGCAGCCATGAACATGTGTTTTTGGTGGCACAGTTAGGGGCTCCATGGGCATGTGCCTGTGGGGTCTGGGGTGGTGGGGAAGCCCCCCAGTGCTGTGCGGGCCCCCCTCTCCGCACCCGATGTCCCAGCCAGTGCCAGCTGACAGCCCTTTGCTCGCAGGTGGTCCCGCTGACGTGGTGGGCTGTGTGCCGAGACTCCGTGTACTACACGCTCTCTGTCATCGTGCTCATCGCCGTGAGTTCCGTCCCCGCCCCTGAAGTCGCAGGACCCTGCCCACCTTGTCCCTGGCCCTAGAACCCACGAACCCAGAGCACCCCAGCCAAGCGGCGGGCTGAGCGCTCACTGCAGCCGCTTTGACCAACCCCCTCACCACGGTGCCTCCCTTTCCCCAAACCCTATACCTGACACCTTGGTATGGGGCAGATCCAGGCACCACCGGGAGGGCAAAAAGGTCTCAAAAGAGCCAGAGCACGTATCACATGGTCCACGCAGTTGCCCTCAAGCCTGTTGCTCCCAGGGACCCCGCAGACCCTCATGCGGAGCCCTTTGCTGAGGAGCAGAGCTGGCTCCCAGGCCCCTGCAGAGCGGAGGGGAGAGGCCGCTGGGAGCTGGCAGAGTTGGCAGCGGGGGCGGGGGGAGCGGAGAGAAAAGGCAGAGGGGGTGAAGCAGGGATGCTGGGGCTGGCTCGGTGTGTGAGGGTGTCCCTGTGCCCCCAAGGGTTGGGGTGGCATCATGGCACATGACAGTGAAGCAGTGACACCCAGGCTACGGCCGAGGAGCGTGCCAGCCACAGGGACACGGTTTCAGTCCAAAAGGAGCCTTAAAGGGCCGATCCTATTCAAGAGGGCGGATGCGCGTGGTTCGCCAGGGCTTGGGGCGCATGCTCTAGAGTGACAGTTCTCAGCCGTACAACTGTGCCAACTGCGTATGCCAGTCCCTTCTCTCAGTTACCTCTCAGGGGCACGGAGTTTCCCCAAAACGCAGGGGCCTCAGACAAAGCAGTCATTGCTCCCCTTCCTCCAGCTCGGGCCTGTGACAGGTGTCGTCCGGGGTATCGTCGCCTCCAGGCTCCCCCAGGCGAAAATCCACTTTGGGGGTCGCATTGTTCTGGCAGCCTCAGGTCTTTCTTCCCTGGCCCCTCAGCGCGAGGGACAGAGGAGCCGAGGTGGGAGCCACAGTCTGTTCGTGACCTAATCTCGGAAGCGACCACCCATCTGCTGTATCCTGTTTGTGAGGAGCAAGTCGCTAGGTCCAGGCCGTGCACACGGAAGCATGAGCGTCAGGTGGTGGGATCCCTGGGGCCATCTGAGAGGCTGCCTCTCGCACCCCTGAAAGTGAACCTTACAGATGAAATAATTTATCTGTACATAATTAAAAAAAACAAAAACAAAAACCACCCCTGCCCAGTATGGTTCAAATGAGCGTCGTCTCATGCACTGAAAGGTCGCTGGTTCAATTTCTGGTCAGGGCACATGCTCAGGTTGAAGGTTCGATCCCCGGTCAGGGTGCATGCGGGCGGCAACTGATCGGTATTTCTCTCTCCTGTCAATGTTTCTCTCTCTTTCTCCCGAAATCAATAGAAATATATATTTTAAAAGAACATAACCACTAAAGTATACTGTAAAGGACAAGTGAAAGTAATTTACAGCAAAAGCATGCATGTTGGTGGAAAGGTTTGGGCTTGAAGATGCTAGAACGCCCTTGCTTTTGCGTGGGACGTCCCCGAGCCTGTCAGCTGTCCACCCAGACCCAGGCCAGCTGCTGGGCTGGCACCTTAAACCCGAGCCCTGCCCACACCGATGGCCTGATTTCCTAAGGTTGTGACTGACTCCTGATACCTCCCTGAGAGCCAAGTACGGTTACCCCCGTTTCCGTGACAGTTACCTCAGCAGAAAATTAAGTATTTACTAAAACGTGTAAAAAGACTTTGATTCGTGAAACAGAGTTAAGTTCCAGGCTCAGGTTATGTATTTTTTGTTGTTGTTGTTTATCTGTCTATCTGAATATTTAGCAGGACACTTACCACTTGTACGACATGGACAAACGTCCCCGTAGAACCGTTTCACGTGTTCTAGGTTGGCTGGCAGCCCGGGCGTCCAGTGCCTCTCAGTGCCAGTGGCCCTCCATGGGGTTGTGAAAACGAAAAATGTCTCCATAAATGTCTCACAAGTTCCCCAGGTTGAATGCCACTTCCCCAGAGCCTTGGGGAGCCGCCCAGCGACGCCCGGCCAGGACGACTCTCTCGGAAGCGGCATCCCAGAGCAGTCCTGTGTGTGCTGCCCGCGTGAGGGCCAGGAGTGGGGTGCGGGGGCCCAGGTTCAGACAGAGCCCCCGGCCTCTGCTGGCATCCCCTGTGGGGACCTCCATGCGTCCAAGATGAGATTGGTGGGCACAGCCCCTCCACCTCCCAGTCCACATTGGGCTTCGCTGGGGTGCTCATCGGGTTCTCCCCTGGACAACATGTATCCATGTCATATGATCAGGGGGGTTGTTGGGCAATGTCAGTGCCGAGTTAGGAAACCAGGAAGTCCCTGTCATTGCCCCCGGCCTCCCTTCAACTGGTACAAATGAGTCTTTTGCCCTCAGAAGTTTCAAAGATGTTACTCTTTGTTGAAAGAAAATAGCACCCCCTTTCTCCTATACCCACAGGCACCATAGATAGATAGGGAGGTAAGTAAGTAAATAAGCAGGCAGATAGGTAGGTAGGTGGGTGGGTGGATGGATGGATGTCTTTTGAGTTTTTAAGATTCTTGAGTGTTGCAACTCTGTTCCATTAGTAAGGGCAGGCCCCTGCCAGGTTGGCCCTAGAAGCTACTTGGACTATAAGCTCGCCACAGGCTATTGGTCTGAGAGGCCCATGCTATGTTGGGCGACAGGTTTCCACACCTGCTGACCTATATTTCAACTAAGGCAAGGTCACCTTCTAGAGAAACCCAGACTGGAGAGAGGAGCCCAGTTTTCTGTAGAATAATATAGCAAGCCCAGATGTGTCGGCTCTGTGTCTGCATGTGTGTGTGTGTGATTTGAATAAATGTCCCCCCCAACCCTTTGTTTCTTTTGCCTTCCAGTTCATATATGATGAAGAAATTGTGTGGTAAGTTTTCAAAGTTTGTTTCTTGTTTGTTTTTGTTTGTGTCCTTGCTTTCTGGGTTCGTTGACTCTTCTTTAAAAAAAGTTTTAAAAACATAAGCTTATGACCTTGTAAAAGTAAAAAGGGTATCATTCTGAGCCCTCATGTCTTCATTTGTCCTTTCAAAGTGACAAAAATTGTTTCCCTTAATATTCCCACCCTGCCAGATAGCACGATATATTATAAAGCTAAAAGGATGAAAACAGTATGGTATGTTGCATGGGCCAGTGTGGAATATGGAACCGAGAACCCAGGAATGGGCCCATTTCTGGGCTGGGGGATATGGCAGGTGTCACGACAAGGCAGGGAGTTAGGGAGCGGGGTCTCAGATTCTGCTGGGACCACTAGAAATCCATCCGAACAAGATGCCATCAGGTGTGTCCCTCACACATTATACAAGAATAAATTCCAGGTGAGTGGAAGATCTCACTGTAAAAAGCAAAACTAAAATAACATCAAATAAAATGTAGGGTCTCATCGTCATGACACCGAGGTCAGAAATGATTCCTTAATTAAGATAAGGTGGATGTCTTCACTCTATAGAGCATGACTCTCGCACATTCATCTAAGCCATGGGAAGGTCCTCTGCCCGCGAGTGAGTCTGAACCTGCACCTGTATGTGATGATTGGCGGGAAGCTACTCGGGAGGCCCGATGTGAGCGGCTGCATGCTGTGGGCCCAGGGAAGCCTGGTTCTGGCCCTGGCCCGGCCACTAACCCGCCACATGAGCTGGGAAGTCTCCCCACTTCCAGGTCTCCTTTTCCTCACCTGTAGATGGAGTTGGGGTGGGGTCAGAGCACCTACAAGTCCCTTTGCGGCTCTGTTGGTCCTTGGGCTCTTGTCAGCCAAGGAAGAGCTCCCAAAACCACAATAGCCCATGCCGGGCACGTAGTAGGCCTTCAGTACACATTTGTCAGACGAATGAACGAACAGAAGCCGGGTGGCTCCCCAAAGGCCTGTGGTCAGAGCTGCAGAAACCCTCCATGCGTGCAGTTGGGCGCTGTATCCGCAAGACAGCCACAGCAGTAATCGTGTGTCTCAGGGACACCTGCCCGCCCCGGCCCAGGGGGTCCTGTCCCCTCTTCAGGCAGCTCTTAGGGCCCCTTCCCCCTGCACCCACAGCTTCTCTGCTCCTTGGCCAGAATCTCGGCTGATCATGGGGCCTCTTACTGTCAAGTCTGGGTGACTCGAGGCTGTGACTCCAGGCCACTCCTCACTGAGTCCTGAGATGTAGTGGCCCTGGCCCCTCCTTTCTCTAGGTAGCTAAGGGACTCCCCCTGAACCCTGCAGACCCCCTGAAGTTGTGAAGACCCCACTCTCAGCCTTCTCTCTCTGTCACCGAGACAGTGTGTAGGACAGCCCCGGGCTGGGGCTGCTCACCTGCCTGCTGGGTACTGGGTGCTGGGCCAGGCCCAGGGACGTGAAGGTCACCGGCTTCACCCTCTACACGGGTCACTTCAGCGTGGGCCCTCCTCGCTCTAACCACAGCCTCCTTTCTGTCTTTGAGGTGGGAAGGCCTGGTGCTCATCATCTTGTACGTGTTTTACATTCTGATCATGAAGTAAGTGCCCTTTCTCTTCTTCCGGGCTGTCTGACGCCTCGATTCAGCCCCTGCTCTGGCCTCTGGTTAGAGCAGGGAGCAGACCTCCGTCAGAACTTTCCTTCCCTTCCAGCCAGCCCCAGTTCTCCAGGGGACACCTCACTGGGGGGCGGGAGTGGGCGAGAGATGCTCAGGCACTGCTCTGCTGTGCTGTGCACACCTGGCCATGGGGGTCAGGGCTGGTCGGGGAGGGTGAGGTCACTCCCAAAGCAAGTAGCAATCGGGACCTCTCTCCACCCTGCTTCACGCCTCATGCCCCAGGGTGGCCACTTTTTTTTGCTATCTGATAATTTACTACCACTCTTTTCAAAAGAGCCCGGCAGCCTCACTTCTGTGCCAAGCTTTGTAAAATGCCACCTCTCAGGGCTGCTGCCTGGTGCAACTATTGTGGGGGGCACTTATAGTGTTGAAGATGCAGACACAGGGTCTGGGGCTGTAAACCCTTGCGGCCCTCTGGAATCTGCGCAGGTCAGAATCATCTCAAAACTACCCACAGGGAATATTATTCAGCCGTGAAAAAGGGAGGAAATTCTGACACAGACTATATCATGAATGAACCTTGTGGACTTTATGCTGAGTGAAAGGAGCCAGTCACAAAAGGATAAATATGGTCTGATTCCATTTACATGAGGTACCTAGGAGAGTCAAATTCATAGAGACAGGAAGCAAATTGGAGATTACTTTGGAGGAGGGAGTAACTAGTAATTGATCAGTGGGTGTAGAGTTCTGTTTGGGGTGCTGAAAAAGTCCAGAAAGAGGTAGTGGTGATGGTTGCCCACTGTACATGCAATTAATGCCACTGGATGTGCATCTCAAAATGGAAAATAATTAAAATAGCAAATTTTATGTTGTATATATTTTTCCACATAAAAAACGGAAAAGGAAACACTACCCATGAGGTGAGCCATCTTCAGGGTTTCTCTTATATCTACGTCCACAGGTGATTAAAAAGAAAATCAACACTGAGTTTTATGAGGCTGTGAATCATACTGTTTTATAAAAGTGGATGATAAACGGTCGAACTGCAGGGGAATTGCCCCTCACGGATGTCCTCTCTGGGTGCCTGGCAGGGAGCTGGCAGCTGGGCTCTGAGACGGAGAAGTCTCCTCTGTGGGCAGGTGCCGGCTGTCAGTGACACGGGGAGACCCAGAGACTCAGCGGCAGGAGGGAGGACAAGCCTGGTCATGCCTCCTTCGAGTGTGTCCCCGAGGCTCAGCTGGGCCCCTTTTACCAGGACAGGCCTTGTGACCTGCAGTCAGTAGGCATCAGTCACCTTCTTGGGCTGAAGGTTTTTGTGCCCCCAGGAAGCCCACGGACGTGTCAGTAGGAGCAGATCCATCAGACTGCACGTTGTTCTTTAGTCCTGTTAGGATTCTGTCAACTCAGATGAGAAGCTTTGGCCCCCCAGCTCCCTCGCTGTGGGAGCTCCCAGGGCCACCTGACTGTGGGTTATAAGGGGAGGGGGAGGCTGCAACACACCCCCCTGCCAGGTCTCCCACAGCTCTGACCTCCTCCCTTAACTTCCAGGTACAATGTGAAGATACAGGCCTTTTTCACAATCAAACAAAAGACCATTGCAAATGGCAACACGGTCAGCAGTGAGCTGGAGGACGGTAATGATTACTGTGGTAGCAGCTCTGATGACCCGTCCATGCCATTGCTGGGGCCAGGTAAGGCTGAGCAGACAGGAGCAGCCGAACCATGTCATTGAAACCACTGTCCCTTCTCTTTCCTGCACACATGCACTCCCTCTAAATTGTCACTCTCTTACCTTTGGTCACAGGACCCTAAGTGAGGAGGGAGTCATTGTGGGGGATGTTGCTCAGATTGGCGTTCGCTTAAATGAAAATGTCAACAGGCACATCCCTGGGGATCCCCCCCCCACCCCACCGATTGAGGATGATTCAAGGCCTGTTTGGCTTCCTGAGATGCAGTGAATTACATCTCTATCCCATGCAGAAGGCCAATAGCAGGAAGCTGAGGACTTGGGGTGACAAAGCAGGCCCAGGTCCCCTGAGGTTTCTCAAATGCCAGGCCCAGTTCTGGAGAACTCTGTTCTGGAGAGACCTCTGGCTCCGGCCCAGAGCAACAGCCAGCAAGGAAAGGTGGGCACAGAGCTGAGCAGGAATTCCTGGCCCCATCCCAGAGAGGCCTGCCCAGGAACCCGGAGCCCAGAGGGCTGCAGCCTGGTCTCAGCTTCTCTTTGGCCCCTTGTCCGGGGCTTCTGGGCCTCTGGAGCCAGCCCTGTCATCTCTTGTCAAGTTCTCCTAGTCTTCTAGGCCTGACCACTTGCTGCCTTCAAAACCTTGTCTTCCCCGGCCAGTTTGGCTCAGTGCTTAGAGCATTGGCTCGTGGACCAAAGGGTCTTGGGTTCGATTCCCAGTCAAGGGCATGTACCTGGGTTGCAGGTTCCATCCCCGGCCCCAGTTGGGGTCACGTGGGAGACAGCCAGTCCATGTGTCTCACATGGATGTTTCTCCCCACCCCCCCTCCGCTCTATCTAAAGATCAATGGAAAAATATCCTTGGATGAGGATTAAAACAAACAAACAAAAACCTTGTCTTAATCCAGCCAGACACCTGGTGATTCCCTCTGTGGACAGCAGCCAGGAAGGTGAGAGAATTCTCTCTGTTCCTCACCCAAGTCCAGTGCTAAGGCCGGAACGGGCCCTGGGAATTAGGAGGCGGAGAAGCAGGGCTTCAGCCACATCCCTGGGTTCCACCCGTGGTGTCGGTAAAGCTGAGAGGCTGGGGCTGGCCACCTGAGGGGTCTTTTCCCTTGTTCCCCATGGCCCTGGGCAAGTCAGTCCTCCTTCAGGCGACTCTAATTCCTTTATGGTGTCCGTGGTGGGACCAAGTGGTCTCAGAGGAGCCTGTTTGCCTGTGCCTGGGACTCGGGGCCCAAACCTATGCTCCTTGGCCCCTCCCCAGTCTTCCCTTTGGGGCAGATCAGGCGGGGGGCTGCCTCCCATGTACACTTTAGGCTAGTGCCTTCTGTCCCGTCTCAGGTCCTCAGGGGCGACTCTCTCCAGATGGAAGGAGGAAGCCTGCTGGGCTGGGGGTACAGGTGTGACCAAGGCCACAGCCTGGCCGCCAGAGACTCACCAGTGAGACAGAAAGGCGGCCTGCAGAGCCTGGGGCTGTGCCCAGTCCTGGTTCCTACATGCCCTGCCCAGGAGAGAGCTGTTTCCAGGACAACCTGCTCAGAAGGGGAGGAGGCTGCTGTTTGGATTTTAGCTCCACAGACAGTGGCTGCGAGGTCCCCACACAGTCTCTCGGGACAGGCTGATTCCTGCCCTGGACATAGTGTCCCTGGGGCCTCTGACCTTCCTGGCAAAGGAGAGAGATTTCAGGTGGTGAGTCAAATCAGGCTGGCAGAGAATGCCCGCGTCCTCGGGTGCCAGCCCTGAGAGCCACCCACTGCCCATGTGGCCGATGGAGGAGGCCCATCCCCGGGGCCCCGAGTTTTCTAAAACTTGTACAAATTTTTCACATCACATTTCATTCTGCTCAAGAAAGAGCACAGTACGGCGAGTAAAGGGCCCAGGACAGAGGCAGGGAAGCCCCCGTTTGCCATCCCCGGTGGGAGTCCAGCTTCTCTCTGCTGGTTTCTGGTGGCCTTGCACACGGCCTGACAGCTAGGGCACCCTGACCACTGGCTGGGCTCACTGTGGGACCCCCTGGGCTGCCCTGGCCCTGGCCTCAGCGCTGTCGGAGCAGGAAGGAGGGGGCAATAGCTGGCCTTGGGCTGAACTGCCAGGAACCACGCTATCGTCGGGGTACCTTCTGGGCAGCCACCCTTGGCCGAGAAGCACCAGGACAAGGTATCGGTGCCAGGTGCCATGTATTTTGCCTTGAAGGCTGACACTGTTCTGAGCCCAGCTGTTCCCCCAGGGGGTGCTGTTCTGTGGTCTGGACGAGCCCGCAGTGGTCCTGCTGGTTTCCACCTCCCTCTGAGATACATGAGGGTCCAGAGCGAGGAGGGATCCGGGCTTTCCTGCAGCCTGGGGGCGGTGGGCCCGGGGTCCCGCTCCTCAGAGTGGGGCCAAGCCGTGGAGTTCAGCCGGGAGAGGAGCCGTCCCGAGGGCCGGACTCGGAGCACTGAAGTCCCCTAGCAGCCGCCCCTACTAACACTCCCTTCAATAACCCCGGCCCCTTGGCGCCGACCAGAACGCGGCCCCAGGCTCTCGGCATCCACCGCACGCTAATCATCTCTGGCAACCCCTGTCGGCCTTTGTCTCCTTAACTCTTCTCCTCTTCTAAATTGTAAGTAATCTGCTTTCATCCAAGTGATAACACATGCATTGAACACAAACAGCCCCACGAGCCCAGCGCACGCCTCGTCGGAGGTCAGTGTCCGTCTCCCACAAATGCATGGTCCCCCGGCTGTTCTAACCCACACGCCTCCTGTCTGCTGAGCCTTGCTGCCTGGGGGTGGGGTGCGCGTCTGTTCCTGTCCGTGCCATTAGCTCTCCTGTGATTTCGCCCTGGCTACTCCTGGTGACCCTAGCACCCAGGAAGGACACGTACCGGGAGCCGGTGACCCGTGCAGAGGGGCGGGCTTGTCCGCTTTGACAGCCCCCCGGAGGGAAGCCGCTGCTTCTGTGCACTTTGTTCACGAGTGGTCCTGTCACGAGGGCCTGGAGTTAGGTGTCAGATCCCCCAGGACTCCAGCCCTGAGCGTGTTCCGGAAGGTGGTCGGGGAGAGGTCTAAGGCCTGAGAGATTTGTTCTACCTCATGACGGGGAAGCATAGGGTCAGAGACACTGGTGTCCCTGCTGGAGGATGACAGGTTTCCCAGAGACGCTGGGCTTAGCCAGCAGACTGCCCTCCTGGGTCTCCGCTCCGTCCAGGGCCTGTGAGCCCATCTTTGCCCTCGACGCCTGCGTCAGGAGAACACAGTTAGAAGCATCCTTCTGTGCCAGGTGGAGATGGTCCCTCAAAGACAGAGCCGGTGCTCTCTGGTGCTTCCTAGAATATTCCATTCCAGGGGGCCCTTGGAGCCTCTGTAATCAGGAGAAAAGCAAGGTCCCTTCACAGTCACAGGTGGGCTGCCCAGTGAGGCTTAGATGAGGAACTGAGACCCTCGGTTAGCCAAGACTGGGCCCCGAAGAGAGGGGCCGTCGATCGGCAGGGGGGCTGGGTGTGGAGGGGCTTGCCTCGGAGTGGGCCTATAATGGGGGGATCACGGGGCTGTGTCTGATTCTTCAAGTTGGCAGGTGGTTCAGAGCCTGTGGCCACTTGACTAGTGGGAGGAGCTGAGCGGGCTCCCAGGTGGCCTCCGAGACCGCAGCCTGAGAAGTCTGCACCGGAGAGGAGCAGTCAGCTGCCCCCGCACGTGAGTGTTGTCCCGGGGACCTCGGCAGTAACCCTGGTGTTGTGCTCACTACAGTGAAGGAGGAGCCCCAGTATGGCAAAAACCCAGTGGTGATGGTGGACGAGGTCATGAGCTCCAGCCCTCCCAAGTTCAGCTTCCCGGAGGCAGGCTTACGTATAATGATCACCAACAAGTTCGGGCCCAGGACCCGACTGCGGATGGCCAGCAGGATCATCATTAACGAGGTAGGTTTGCTTCGAGGACCGTGGGCGCCGGTGGCCTTGGTTGGGTTCTGGTTCTTTGAGGAGGCCCTGGCTTGTTGGAGTGCTTTCTGGTGCTTGGCCACCAGAGCGTCCTCTGCCAGGCTGGCATTAGCTGCCCCTGTGTTAGAAGGAAGCCCAGACATCACCGCAAATAGCAAATGATCCCATCGGGAGCGATCTGACGGCAGGAGCCATCAAACACCAAACCGAGATGCTCCGCTAAGTGTTTGTCAGGCACTAGAGTAAAACGAACTGCAGAAAGACCGGTCTGAAGTCTGGACTGTTTCCCGAAGGTGTTATCTAGAGCAAGGAAATGTGAGTACACACCTGTTCTCGATGGATAGAACAGCTCTAGAGGGAAACTGAGTCACTGGTGGATGGCAGTTACTCCTGAGGGCTTCTTTTCACTCTGGACCCTGTGGTCTTGCTTGGATTTTGTTTGAAAACAGTTTTAAGATTGATATTATTTAATGTATAAACAGTATGGCAAAGCTCACAGGCTATTGCTGACCAGCTTATCCAACCTCTGCTGCATAGTAGAAGTCTAAGTCCTTATCCTCAGCTTGAAACTTGGATAGCTAATAATCGGTAGTTAGCACATTGATTATATACAAGAATGGGATTGCACAGTGCTTAAAGTTTCTTATTTTGAACATGTTCACTTAAGTCTATATGTAATGTGCCCTCTCTGTGGGAGGTGTATGAAGAAAGGGAAACATTGCAAGCTTGGGATCATTCTGAATAATTTTGTTTGGTCCAAATCGGTAAAATTTTAAATCAATAAAATTGAATCCTGGCCACTTTTTAAAAGCATGGTAATTGTATCCACTGTTGTTGGGGGTGGGACAGGCATTGGACAACTCTTAAGGATTTGGGAGTTTGGGTTTATAGTATATTTTCATGGCACACGCAGCCAGGGGATGAAATAAAGGGGTTTGAGGAGCTGGTAAACTGCTGATTGTCATGCCTCCGAATGTGGTAAGCTGCTGGGAAAACCTTGTTTTCCACCATGTTGGGATTGGAGAGGAAATTCTGAGTTTTCATTTCTCTTTAGTCATTAACTCAGTCTGCCTTGGACACATTTACTGACTGTTGGTCTTCTGCTGAAGCACTTGGGAGGCACATACATGTCCATTGTATAACAGTCATTACTCACAAGACCTAAAGCCAATCCATAAATATTTTTATGAGAACCAGATAAAGGTGCGCTGTGCAAAGGCAAGCAGATTCTTGGGGACGTGGGAACTCGTTGCTTTCTGGAAATGTGGCCCCTGCCTTTCCCTGGTTTAGTAAAAACCCACAGACGTGGAGATGAAGATCAGCTTGGGTGGAAAGGGCCAGCCTTCATCAGTCGCTAGAATGAGCTGGGGGCGGGAAGGGATGGGTTGGTTCAGTGCACACTCATTGGACATGGCAATGGACTTGAACAGCAGAGGCTGTCCACATGGCCAGTGACCCATATGATGCTCAACATCATTAGTTGTCAGAGAAATGCAAACTAAAACCAGATCAGATACCACCACATACCCATCGAATGGCTAAAATAAAAGGATTGACAATATCAAGTGTTGACAAAGATGGGAAGCAACTGAAATTCTAATCCCTTACTGGTGCAAGTGTAAAATGGTTCAACATGCACCTACCTTATTACCTAGCAATTCCACTCCTAAATAAAGAGAAATGAGTGTCTCTGTCTACAAAAACACATATACACAAATGTTTATAGCAGCATACTTCATAATAACCAAAAAGAGGAAACAACACAAATGCCCATCAGCAGGCACAGGGCACACTGCCGATTATTCACACAAGGGATTACTATACAGTCGTGAAAAATAACAGGCAACCACATGGATGATGCTCATAGATTTTAGGTTTAATTTAAAAAGCCAGACTTAAAATAGTACATATGATTTGAATTCATTTATATAAAGTTCAAGTTTAAGAAAAATTGATTGATTTTTGTAAAAATCAAAAGAGTTGCCTTGGTTACCTCTGGAGAAAGGGGCACATAGGCTAAGGAGTACCTGAGAGAGTCTTATGAGGGTCTGAAAATGGTCTACCTCTTGATGTAAAACATCACTGAGCTGCACTCTTAATGTAAGTACACTTTTTACATGGTATACTTAAAAAAATTTTTAATTAAAAAAATATGCAAGGTCTCTCCTGTGACTGTCTTCAGGTGGCCGATGAGCATCTACTGGGGGAGCCGGCATAATCACTGTCAGCCAGTGTCATGGGTTGGCACTAGGAAGAGGGGGTCAGGCCTCTGACCATTCCCGAAAAGCTTGCTCGTATTGTTCCAAAGGAAATGGGAAAACTTAGGTGGACTCCAAGGTCCTTGGGTCATTCACAGGCAAACCGATCTCCAGGGTGTGTTCTAGAAACCTTTGAGGGCTGTGTCATGTCAAGGAACAGTGTAACATTGTCACGTGTCTCGTTGTCTTGCCCCCTTCCGCACAGAGGCAGAGACTGATCAACTCAGCGAACGGAGTGAGCAGAAAACCACTTCAGAACGGGAGGCAAGAAAACATCAAAAACGGCAATGTTCCCATGGAAAACCCAGAAGACCCTCAGCGGGAGCAGGAACAGCAGCCCCCGCCCCCGCCGCCACCCCCAGAGCCAGAGCCGGTCGAGGCTGTCTTCCTGTCCCCCTTCTCCGTGCCCGGTGAGTTCTGAGGGTGCTGTGCTGTCCAGGGCTCCTCCGGACAGTCCTGCCCAGCTCTGCCACCACTTCATCTGCGAAAACAGAGGCTCTGTTTGGGATCACAGGGCGTCCTCCGAGTTTCTGGGTTAGAGCCTCCAGGGCATCCAAGCTACCCAGGAGGTCTTCCCGATATTCAGGACCTGATTTCAAAACCAAGACCAATAGCCTTGAATGGGGCCTGGGATCGGCATTTTCAAGCCTTCTCTGTGCGTCCGGGGACCTGGCCAGGTTAGGGATGCTGCTCCGGTCAGCACCTCCCAGCCTTCTCACGTGAGGGCAGACCCAGAAAAGGACACTCGTCTCCTCACTAAGGTTCCAGAGGGGCCCAGCACAGGGGCCCCCAAGATACCCCTCTGCGGACCAGAGGCTGAGGGGATCTGAGTCCCGCCCTCATCTAACATCCCTGGCACATCAGCACACCTGCTGGACCACTCTGGGGGCAAAGGCCGTGCTCAGCCAGCTTGTCTGGTGGGCTCAAGGTCACACTGTAGCTGGGTGGGAGTGTGGTCCCTGGGTCTGGGACACTGAGAAAAAGGGGTAATCCCTAGATCCCGGGAACCTATATGAGATTACCTGTTTGGACACACTGAGAGAGAGGTCTCAGCAGAGCAGGATCCTGTGGGGGTGCTGCCCCACCTCATGTGTTTTTGTTTAATCTTCACACGAGGATATTTTTCCATTTATCTTCAGATAGAGTGGAAGAAATATAGCGAGAGAGAGAGAGAGAGAGAGAGAAACATTGATGTGAGAGAGACACACCGACTGGTTGCCTCCCGCACGACCCCAGCAAGGGCTGGGGACCGAACCACAACCAATGTAGGTGCCCTTGACCAGAATCGATCCTGTGACTCTTTGGTCCACAGCCTGACGCTCAAACCACTGAGCCAAACCGGCCAGGGCCCCACCTCACGTGTTTGACATCTCTGTTCATAAGGACCCCAGTCCCGGTCCCCACACTGCCCCGAGTCATCACCTCATCAGCCCAGTTGCCCTCCTGAGTCCACCAGCGGCCTGCACGGGGACTCTGGGCTGTGGTCAGGAGAGGGCTTCCGGCTCCGGGGGCCGGGACACCGGATGCGAAGGAGGGCCGTGTGTGGCTACAGCCACGGTCCAGGAACCAGCCAGGCTTCCCTGGCGTGGGGCCGAGGAGCGACCATGAGTTCTGTGCTGCAGCCCCAGGAGCTGGGTGCAGAGTGCCCATTACACAGACACGCAGCCTGAGGGGGCGTCAGCCACCACCCTCCACTGGCCGCTTCATCTGAATTCTGGCCCTGAGGCCACTCCCTGGGCAGGCTCTATAGGAAACCAGCGAAGGCTGTGCCCTTGGCAGCTTGTATTCTGTCAGGTGGGTGCCATGTGTGAGGACAGGAATTTGGTGGGATTCAGCGGGGGGTGGATCCCAGGGTCGGCCAGCCCCTCCCCTTGCCCTGGGATCTGGTGCTTCGTAGAGAAACTGCTGTGAGAAATCAGGTCTAGCTCCCTGAGGGGACCCTGGGTGGGTCACCTCCCGGGGTGCTTAGAATGCTGCTATCGTGCAAGGGCTAGGACCAGATAGCTCAGGTTCTCTGCACCCACGAGGCCTTCTGCAGGGAGCTCTGCCCTTCCTGGCAGGCCAGGCTTCCTGTTGCAGTTGGTCCACCTTCCTCCTCTAGCCAGAGGCTGCAGGACGTTCCCCGGGCTCAGCTCTGTGGCAGCCAAGAGCTCCGAGCTTCTGCCCAGTGTTTGGCCCCGAGGAAAGCTCCCTTTGTGTCCCTGCGGATATGTTTCCAGGTGTTGCCCTTGGAAACCACAAGTCACTTCCTCCTCTTCCCCTCCTGGACATAAGAAGCAGGGGTGGACACAGACAGTTGGGTGGTTGCTGCTTTTAGGTGCACTTGTATTTAATTCTCACAGCTGCCTTGTGAGGGGGGCATTATCATTACCCCCATTTTGCAGAGGGAAACTGAGGCTCTGGGAGGCTGTGAGACGTCCCACAGACATTATGTGGGGAGCCTCTCTTCCACCGTGAGCCTCCCGAGCTGTGCACCCTGTCATGGACTGGTCATTTGGGAGCAGAGTCCCAGACCGCAAGTCCACGGTGGTCACCTGGGGGGTGAATGGCCTTAGCTAGATAAGTACCCTGGACCTACAGTGCAGTGCAGGCCACTTCCGTGGAGAATCTGGGGTGAACGTGTGCCTTACAAAGGTTCAGGCCCTTGGAGGTTCTTAAACAGTAACAGGAGGTAAAACTAACTGAGAACTTGCCGTGGGCCAGGCTGGGTGCTTCACAGGTATTAACTCATTCGGTTCCCATGTGATGTAGAAGGTGGTACTGTCGTCATTATCCCCATGTCTCAGGTGAAGAAACAGGCACAGAGAGGTTTAGTTGCCCAGGATCACACAGGAGGAGGGGGCAGAGCTGGGGTTTGCACACTGACATCTTGACCCCAGACGGGGTTAGGGGACATTGTCACGAACCAGCGGATGCTTTCGGCTCCTTTCCCTTGGAAGCGCTTGCACACAGCTGGGACCTAATGTGCTCTCATCAGGCCTTGGATGGCTGCCCTAAATCTTCTCTCCCTTTATTAAACTCAGCAGGGGCAACCTGAGAATTTCCGGGGCTGCAGGACTTACGCTCCTCCCCACCCCGTCTTCCTCAGCTCTCCAGAGCACCTGGCGGGGAGGAGAGCGGTTCCTGTCTCTAAACCCAGTGAGGGGGTATTGCGTAAACGGGACTCTAGAAGACTCCATCCGCCAGCTCTGTCCTCGAAGCCTCTCAGCTCGTCAGGGGGAGCAGGGGAGAAACGGCAGGTGCTGTGGGCTCAGAGGCACATGAAATTCCAGCCCCAGTTCCTGTCTGTTTCAGGCCCCCCGGGACACACAGCACTTACGGTGGAAATGATCTTGCTCTTGCCTCGGTCTCGGGAGCCATCCGAGAAATTGCACGTTTGGTAGATTGTCTCGTAAGTCAAGGTCAGGGTTTCAAGGACGCGCCCTTGTGAATCAGTCACTGCGGCGCTCTGAAGCGCCCGTCCGCGCCCCAACTAGGACAAACGCTGGCTGAGCATTTTTATTGTTTAATATAACAGCTTTACTGAGATGTAATTCGCTGACCATCATAGTCACACCTTGCAGGTATGCAGCTGAGGGGTTCTCACCAAGTTGGATATTCACAAAGGTGTGCAGCCATCGCCACAATCAATTTTAGGATGTTTTCCCGCTCCCCAAAGAAACCCTCTACACATTAGCAATTATTCCCAACCCTCCAACCCCATCTCCTGGCAACCACTAATCTACTTTCTGTCTCTTCGGATTGATCTGTTCTGGACATTTCATTTAAATGGACTCACCAGCAGGAGGCCTTTGGCGACTGGCGGCTGCTTGGCGAGCTGTTTGCGAGGTTTGTTCCTGTTGCAGTGGCTCTAGGTGCTGGCTGAACAGTATTATATTTATCTGTTCATCAGTTGATGGAAATTTGAATTATTCCCACTCTCTGGCTATGAGTGGTTTATAAAAACAGCGAATAGAGCATAGTGGAGAAAGAGTCTCAATATATATTTTTTATTTTTATTTTACTTTTTTATTTTTATTTTATTTTTTTGGTACATGCCCCTAGTGGGAACCGAACCTGGGACTCTCTGGTCCGCAGGCCGGCGCTCCAACCGCTCAGCCAAACTGGCCAGGGCTCAGTATATATTTTTTAAATCTAAATTAATTTTCCTCTGAGTTCTTTGTGGTTAGCAACAACCTGTCTCTGAAGACTAGGATTAAAAGGGATCTTGGAAATTTTTAAACCAGCCTTTTGATATTCCAAAGTGGGAAACTGAGGCCCAAAGACGGGCAGGGGCTTGCCCAAGGGGCAGACTCGAGACAGAACCAGGTCCCTGGGCCACCTGCTCTGGAAGCCACTCTGCGATGCCCCCACAGTCAGGCCTGCGCAGTGCAGGCTGGGAGGTAGGAGGTGGAAGGGCCGGGACCCACCGCAGTGGGCATGAGCTGGGTCCTGAAGCCTCTTCACTGCCAACAACAGAAGCCCACCCAAGCTCCCTTGAGCTAAAGGGGAACCTTTTTAAAAGTAAGGACATAGAGTATGTTAGGGATCCCAGGAGCAGAGAAGCAGCTGGACTTGCCCGGGGCCGACTCGGGGCCTCAGTGGGTGTTGAGACTCTTCCTGGCCCTTCATTTCTCCATACAGGCCTGTTCCTCTGTTTCTTAACTGCAGACCGTCTTTCTCAAATTCACAGTTGGTCCATGTGGCAGACTGTGGCTTCCACTGGCCCCAGACTGACGCGTGGCAGTTCCAGCCTCTCTAACTTAGTTCCTGGTGGTGCATCTGAATACCAGAGTCCCAGGTGTTCACCCCGGTCACTCGGCTGTGCTGGCCAACATGGCTTTGGTGGCCCCTAGGAATGTAAGGTCTCTGAGGTAAGGGGCCGAGCACACACACACCTGCACCCCTTGTAGGTGTTGGTGACAAACGCCACTGGCGTTATTGGAAGATGAAGGATGCAGCCCATCTGAGATGCAGGGAAAACAGAGATACAGAGGTACAGGTGCCTCACATAGTCGTGGGAAGGACACTTTAATCCAGCCACCAGAGGCGACTCCAGACCCTCTAACCCCCACCCCACTGATCTGGTCGGCACTGCCACCATGCTAGAACCAGGGAAGTGGGGAGCCAGGATGCATCCGGGCTGTTGAGTTCAAGAACTCAGCACTAGCGCTGTGAGCCGGGACCAGGAGGCCACTGCCACAGCTGTGTCTTGACTCCCACTGGGACACTGGGATGCTGGTCGGGCCTCTGGATTGTCTCTGATGCCCACTCACCTAGGGCCTGGGCATAGATGCCCTGCTTTGACAGGAATGCATCTAAAGCAGCAGAAAGGTGGCCTGGCCCTACTTGAATTCGCCTCTTCAAATCAGGAAACCTATGATGAGTCCTGAACTTCCCAGCTGCAAGGGATTCTGGGAGATGTCTCTGC